ACCTCAACACAAAAAGTGGTAATGCTCTTGAGCGCCGTGATAACGCTAAAGTCTTAAGAAAATGTGTGAAGTATGGGAAGAATTGCAAAGTTTTGTTGAAAAAACTCGCCCAGATAAAGCTGTAGCAGGCCGTTGCATTGACCTTTTAAATGACAATGTGATGTCTTACTAAAATGTTGGGAGAAACAAGTGTCTTTAGACACATTCTTATTAAGACAAGCAAGTCTTAGTGGTATGCAGGCAAAATGTGCCAGAGTGTGCACACCAGAAAGGTCCTCACTGCCTGATGTGATAATGGAAGGGGACTCCCCTTCCAAACAGTAACACCTCTTCTCCTCCCTCCTCCTCACCATCTTCCATACGCCAACAGCAAGGTAAGTAATAACTTGAACATAGTTTTGTAGGTTTATTTAGATGAATTAGGTATAAAATTTAGTTTTGTAAGTTTATTTAGATGAATTAGGTATAAAATTTAGTTTGAAGTGGGGTTTTTGGGGTAGTCAGGAACGGATTAATTCATTCCCATTATTTCTTATGGGGAAATTAGCTTTGGAATACGAGTTTTCGGAATACGAGCCGTCTCCAGGAACGGATTAAACTCTTAAACCGAGGTACCACTGTAGTCACGATCGCGATTCCGGGCGAACGTTGGTATAACTTGACGGTGTTCAGTCTATTGGCCGATAGACAGAACAGCACACGTCCACTAGCTACGAACTTTATGTGAATACCCTTGCCAGCGGCTGCAGGGCTCCTCGTGGGACACAAACACAAGGAATTACAATTTGACCAATGACACTGCAGCAAAAGAGCGGGAACCAATCATATTGATCGTTCCATGATCAGTAGCAGAGGTGACGTCATGAACACGTCATGACCACGTCACAGTTGTTATTCTCCATTGCGCCGGTTGAGGCTGACCTCAGGGGTCAGATCTGTCGCCTTGCTGGCATCCTCTCTCTCTCTCTCTCACGATGGCACAACCACTGTGTACCCAATGACTATGGCATGGATGCTTAACTTCCCTGTATCTACTTCCTGCCTGGACATACGGCGGCCTCTGTATTTTAAATGTATTACTGGTTATGTGGGCATCCTGGAGATACCCAACATGACAGATTACCATCCAGGGTTAACAGAGATAGGGCTTGTGCACGAGATCGGTGCACTGTGCACTGCAATGAGCCATTCAAGTCAGCTGTGGGATAATCTTGAGAGACCATCCTCTCACAGACTGGTATTGCCAAGAGTAAACCCAGGCAGGGTACTGCGAACCAGTGCCCAAGTCTACCAATCAAACTGCTAAAAACTGAGCCCCTGGGACATGTCCACTCACGGGGGCCTAGGAGGATCGAGGTACCACCCAGAACACACATATAAACCTAAAATATAGATAGGGAGCAACGAACCAAAGGCAGACCCCACCACCAGGCAGGAAAAAACAAAAGAAAAACCCCGCAAGAGGACAACGTACCCAGGCAGAACAGAGCCGGCCACTATAAATGGGAATAACTAGCTTTACAGTACCCCGTACCCTCAACAGTGCAAACTACCCCTTACCCTAAGGTAAACAAGGGAGGAGGAAACCCCTAGCACACTTAGGGCAGTCAATCACCGAGCAGCAAAAGACCAACAGAGGTAGACCCCAAGGTGACTTTGTGGAAGATAACCCCAAGCCCTAAGGACAGTACTTACAGGGCACTTAGGGAAGGGGACCCTAAGCACATGCAGCCCGAGTACCAGTGAAGATTACTCCTAGCTCTCACACCACCCTGAAGACCACTAAACACAATACACAGCACTGAGACAAGACACAGGAGCTGAAGTCTCACGACCAAGCCTCAATCACATCAGCCAAGAACTGAAGGTGTGGGTAGCTGGCACAAGGGGTCTGGGGCTTCCCCTTCCGGGGAGGGGGGAGCTGTGCAGATCGCGGCAAGGCAACGTGGTAATGTCATGCTTGTTTGCTTGTTTTTCTTTGGGAAATTCTGTCCACTCGTTTGACTTTTAGTAGTAGTTTTTATCAGAATAGGGGTTTGTTTTGGGATACTTACCTTTCAGGGGTGCCTGACGCAGTTGATGGCAGACATAGAATGCTCCAAATTACATGTGCAATTCTATAAGCCATTACTCTCTGAGGAGGGGGCCAGGTTCTGGCTCGTGGTCCCCGGTAGGCCTAAAAACTCCATTCACATTGACTGATGCCAAAGTCTAATAGTTCCATATCAGCCTGAATAAGCTCCGAAGATCCAAAGGGGCTCCCCCCAGAAAAAAGCATACATAGCTTGTTTCCAGGATCGTCCTTCGGCATGAGCACATCGTACCGCTTTCATGAGTGGTCACATGAATTTCTCGACTTCTCCACTTACTTGAGGATGTAGTGGCATCCCACGGCGGTGTTTGAATCCAACATGCTCAGCAAAGTTGACGAAATCTTGTCCATTGACATTTTTAATTGACACCCTCTGATGTGGGTTGTTATTACTGCTTGGGTCAAGTTCCTTGACTCCAGTTGTGATGTGGTCCTTGGCTCAACTTGCTGTTGGGTTTGCCATGATACCTCCTATGATCAAGGTTTCCTCCCTGAACCTTACGTACCTCGTCACTATTACTAACAGTTGCAGCACCGTTGTTAGCACTGCACTCCATGACACGAGCAGGGATGCCAGATTGGGCTACTTGTAGCCCAATTGTGTTGCCAATTAGGATAATTGTATTCAATTAAAAAGCCAGCTATGTATGTCACTACTTACTACTTTTTAAACGACAGTTAAAATAAGCTGGGCTGTTTATTCTAAAAAGCGAATCAATATGAAAAAAATATTTGGCTACTTTTATTGTAAAGTTTGTGACATTTAGTTCTCCAGCTCGCGACTTTTGGCAACTCAAATCTGGCACCCCTGGACACGAGCATCACGTGCAGCATCTTCCATTCGATGAGCAATGTCCAGTATCTTGGTAAGAGAACTACCACCACCACCAAGTTCTAGAGCTCTTCAATGGAGACATGTAGATGTGCACGTTTTAATTATTTGCGGTTTAATTTCTTTATCAACATCAGCAAACTCACAATGTGCTGCTAAACCCTGTAGACGTGTGTCATATTTTGTTTCATCAGAGTTGTTTGGCTCTCCTGAAATGCATAGTTTCCATAGTAGTGTTCTGTCTAGGTTTGAAATGTTTAGTTAATTTGGCTTTGACAGTGTCATAATCTTTGTCACCACCAGTGTCTTTCAGTATGTCAAAGATTCCACAAAATCACCTACATAATGTAGTAAAAAGGCACGTTTTTTTCACCACTTTTGATGTCAAACTTAACAAATTTTTAACCCTTCAAAGCCATTTGGTCCACCTATGACAGGTTTGTCTGGTCACAGTCAGGATCAAATGCAGGAAACTGAGGTATATCACTTCACTGTTCCACAGAATACTGAACACTTAATGCACTGTGTATGTTAGCTAAGAATTCACTGTAATTACTTCTATTTTGCAAAGCACACAAGCATTTTAATGCAAAGTTCACAACAATGCACAATACAGCAGCAATTGACATCTTACCTAATCTTGTGTACATGTGGTGGTTTTCCAACTTACAGCTGCACAGCAGTTGGCACATCAGTTGTCAGCAATGTTGTTTAACCCTTAAAGTGCACATCACGTCATATGACGTGGTAGACGTTGTTCCAGTCAACTGCGCATCACGTCATGTGACGCGTTGGAGTACTACGCAAGATTTAAACGGCCCGCGGATACACGGGGTTCACCACACCTTCATCAAGGCTCTTGTAAACAGACGCCATTTTTAAAAAAAATCGTGGGCCAAACTCCCGGGTGTTAGGGGCCTCAGTATTGAGTGAGCAACCAAGCCTGACGCACACAGCATGAGCTAACAGCACTGCTGTTCAGCTTGTGACCACAGCATCGCTTAAAAATGCCATAATATACTTGTTCATGCTATTATGTAGCGATGATATTATTACAGAAGACCCCTACATGGTAAATATGTGCAACATATGTGTACACAAGTGTCGTGCATGTAACAGTGCCTTCGGACAGTACGGATGTTTTACTGCCATAATATAGTGTACGTGTTCATTATACGTAGGATTAGCACGTAAAAACAAATAAAATGTATTTGGAACTGTGAGCAAAAATGAACAAAAATATATTCGCGGCAACTCGCGCGCCCCACCCCGGACACCCTACTGGCCCCGGGAGCGTACGTCACGGGCGAACAGGGAATGACGACGTTGCACGCCAACTTACGGATTCCATAGCAGCCAAAGTACAATTTCAATTTTTTTTTTGACATACCCATATTGAGGGAAGGGTTTGACACAAAAAAAAAAAAAATCCAGAGAATTTATTTCCTGCGCACTGGGGGGGGGGGGTGTCATATTTGGAAGCCGAGCAGTTAAGGGGCTAAACAGCTGTTGTATGAAGAATTATGCCAGGGCACTTATTCTGTTGAGAGCAGAAGAAATAATTCAAGGATTGCCTCAAGGTGACCCTCAAAGGCTTGGACATCACCAATATTTGGGAGTCACTTGCTCAGGATTGTCCAACTTGGAAAAGCAAAGCCATCATAGGGTCCCATGCAGTACAAAATAGATGGACTGCAAAGGCCCAGAGGAAATGTACTGCATGCAAAGCTAGAGCAACCTCCACCTCTACAGTAGCACCCACCCACATACGTCCCATGTGTGGGCGAGCCTTCTGGATCCAGATTGGTCTCGTCCACCATCATCTGGCACACAACCACCGACCTTCAACCTGATATATTGAAGTCATGTCATCTTCGCATCCAAAGGACAATCATGATGCTTGCCCTACCTAGAAATCCAACATTCTTCTTGTATAATATCTCATTTTGTATGAATGTACTTTTCCCTAAATATTATTATTATAAATAAACTTAAAATTTGTAATCTAACTATTGAACATTTTTTTGTATAAATATATCTATTGCCATAAAGTATTACTTCATAGTTATCACTTACCCGTCTTTACCTCGATACTTGATGTGTTCATCTGCATAGAGAAAGGCATCAATCAACCTGAAAATTAAATACAATATTTAGTAAACACCAGGGTTGAATGTAATGAAATACGATTTTGTGGGCAAGTCTCGGTGGCTTTATGAAGCTACTATCTCTGATTGAAATTGAAATAAGTTTATTGAGGTAAAATACACACAAAGGGATGAGGTAGCTCAAGCTATTCTCACCCCGTTCGGTATATCGTGTTAATACATACATAGACACACATCACAAACAATAAACATATTACCAAACTATCTCTGATAGTGTGCCATACTAGTAGGGGTCCTATCAGCCGCAGAGTTCTATTGGCCTACTGGGTACCACAAGCCAGAAACTAGCCCCCTCACAGAAGCGAAGGGAGCGAGTCGCACTAATGATAAAAACTGTATTGATTACCACCACCTTCCTCTGCTACCACCAAGGAAGGCACCCAGAAAGTCGGCAAAACAAAACAAACCACTGCTGACTTCAAACAAGACTGCAGCTTCAAGAACTGCCAAAAGAACTCTTCCAACAGTATAAACAAAGCTCATTTGCCCCCACCTCCCTTTCATGCATATTCGCATACAAGTGGGAGGAGGACGGAGGCAGTCCAGGGTCAGCCAACTGCTCCACCATCTGTTCAATGAATATGACAACCTTAATGACCTGGAAAGGGAGGGGGGGGGGGGGTAATTGTTATGGAGTCACCGGTCTCGCACAGAAATTGGCATTTCATTACATTCAACGCTGGTTTTTGGGTAAGTCTCTTGTGTTCCAGAAGCTAACTACTCATGGAGAAGGAAACAAATGGGCACTCAACTGTGGTTCTCACTCCTCTCTGGTATTAGGATAAAGTCGAGACACTCAGTCATGACACATGACCCAAAGCCACATAAGAATGCCAGGGCTTAGGCACATTGACAAGATACTGGGTCACCAGAACCCTGTACAACCTCCAAAACTCTTGTGCATGATTGAACCACATGACATTCACAAAAACAGCCGAGAAAGTAGAGAATATATTCTCTAACATCACGGGCGCAAGGGTAAACTGCATGTTGGCTAAAATTAATGACACTGCTGATGACCTGAGACAAACCATGGAACAGGGAACCAAAGTGACAGGATCAACCCACAGAGAATTCACCAAAGCAAAACCTGTGTCACGAAGGTAGCAGCTCTTCACTGCTGCCGGCCGCTAATACGACCCGCTAATTCATTTAACAACCTGGTACCCATTCACTGCTGGGTGAACAGAGACTACAATTAAGGATTGGCACCCAGTCAATCCTCCCCAGCCAGGATAAGAACCCAAGCCAAAGGCATCGCGCGAGTGCTTTACCACTGTGCCACTTCCACTTCTGTGCCACTGTGTTTGACTTCTTGGCTATGACTCTGGGTGGGATCGAATAAGAAGGGGGCACTAAGGACCCATATACTGTTTGATAAGTTAAGAGCCCGGTTACTGGCTAAGTGAGGCCGTAACAACCATGATACAAGAAGATGTGGGGAAACAGGCAAACAAGGAGAGGCTTAAAAGAAAGGCCTCATGAACACCCATCCCACACCACAAAAAGGTGTGGAATGGCAAGGGCCATGCCAACCCCAAGCAAAAACAAGGAAAGCCTGCTAGCCAGGAAGACACTGGAACCTCATACCACTACTAATAAGAAGAAACCCCAAATGCAAAGGAACCAGGGTCAAACCGAGGTAGAACTGAGTCACAAAGGAATAGAAAAATATGCTGCATAAGCTGCCATATAAGGTATTTGAAATGTAAGAATTTCTAGAAGGACAAACCAAAGGACCCAAAGGACATGTAGAAATTAACCTCAGAGGGAGCTGCACCCCATGCATGTGCATGCAGAAAGGGGAAACAAACACTTCCTGCAACCAAGGAACCACAGAGCCAAACAGGGCCCAAGAGTTACTAACTCCCAAGCCCCAGAAGTGGCAGGCAAGAGCCCTGGTGTAGCCTGCATCAGCACCCACTGCCCAGGATAGAAAAGCAAAGTTCAAGGGAAAGGCTTCCAAGGAAGAAGCGCTGGCAGAACGGAAGACACAGAAGCACTGGCAGGACAAGTAGACTCAACTGCCTCCACACCCGAACCAGAAGGGACAACGTCTGGAGCCGCCAAAGCCACATCCAAGCTAAACCCTGTCCCAACCCTAAAACCCTCAGATGCTTCAGGGCCATAAGCAGGTTAGGGGAAGGGAGTTAGTTAACAGAGGAAGGGCAAACCATGCCCAAAAACAGAGGAAGTGGAAGTGGAAGTGTGGACGGAGCCAACACTTTAAAGTCTACGTTCCTAAACACCAAATGGGGAAGCTCCGGGGCATCTAACTGGGGTTGAAGGTGTCACTGACCCAATAGGCAGCACAGCAGAGGCAGAAGGGATGAACGTTGCCAAGTGGCCCTGTCGACGTGCATTCCTGAAACTCGCACAAAGTGATAGTTGGTAAAAGGATGGGGAGAGGTAAATATAGTCCCCCTACCCCCCTCCCTCTTATCCACAGGGAATTTTCAGGGGATTGCAGAGGAAATATACCCAACAGGACAGCCAGACACTGGATGCTATGCCAGTCCTATATAACTGTAAAGTTATGACTGGAATCTGTACACCAGTTGATTGACAGTCGAGAGGTGGAAACAAAGAGCCAGAGCTCAACCCCCACAAGCACAACTAGGCGAGTACAGCTAGGCGAGCACAGCCGTGAAAGTAGACCTCGGCATGCTGAGTGCAGCTCATGTGTTATGTAAGTGCATCTTGCCAGCCAAAATCATTCCCAACCTTTGGAAAGAAAGCCCAAGACACCCAACTCACCTTAGGGTGAGGGCCACAAACGAGGAGGACCCCAGAGGGAGTGATCCCCAAACACTTTAGGGAAGATAACCCAGGCAGTGCTAGGCAAGCACTAAGGAGCACACAGGGAAAATAATCATGAGCACATGCAGCTCCAAGTGCTGTTTAACTTCTGGTTCACACTACACCACAGTGTACAGGAACAGCCACCAAGACAAAAACAACCACTTAGTTGGTAGCAAAACTCCAGTCAGAGTGACAAAGGAAATCTGATGCATGATACCAACAATATAGAATTGATGTTGGAGCAGCTGGCTGACCGTAGACTACCTCCATCCTCCTCTCAAATGGGGGGAAGGGGAGGGTAGGTAGGGGCAAACAAACTTGAGCTAGTTTCATGAAGTTTAGATCATTTGTTTAAATTATTTGGGGAGTTCTTTTGGCAGTTGTCGAGACTGCAGGCTCATTTGAAGCCAGCAGAGGTCTGTTTTGATTCCCTGACTTTCTGGGGTACCTTTTGTGGTGGGAGACATGATTAAATTAATACAAATTTTATCGTAATTGCCACCACACACTGATCCTCTGAAGGAGGGGCCCAGGTTCTGTCTCATGGTCCTTTGTAGGGCAACAGAATTCCATGACTAATGGGACCTAGTAGTATGGCACACTATAAAAAATAGTAGCTACCCATAGCCACAAGGGGCTCCTCCCCATGAAAAAAAAAAAATTCCAGGATATATTAATTTGATCAAATACCAGTTGAGTGCCTGTACTGTTAAAACAACAACTTACATTGAGTCAATGACTTTAACAACACGGTGCTGATAAGCTGTTCTATGAAGTCTCTCTCTTGCGTGGAACATGTTATAAAGATTGTTGCACTCTTTGTCTCGCACACATATCTGCCACTCTCCATCGACTTTAATGGCACGAGAAAACTTGACTAGACGATTGTAGTCAAAATTTACCTGCATAAAAAAAAAGTTAATTCATTAACCAACAACACATTAGCATTAATCTTGTACACTATTTTGTTTAGCTTGGCTGTCCACTTTAATTTTTTGTACATGAAATTTAATCAATTTCCCATCTGTTATGAAAAACAGCTATCCTGCAAATCAGAAAATATGAAAGCAATTTTGATGGGGTGATCCACTATTTGCAATCAATGACAATATTGTGTATTTGCAGACAAATGTGGCTGAAAGCATGATTAAACCAAACACCAGATGAGGAAACTAAGACGTTTCGGTCCATCCTGAACTATTACCAAGTCAGTCGTGATCCATTATTTATTAAAAAAAATTTCCTAGGTCATGATTTTGTCTCAATGCTTTTCTCCCAGCTGACTAGGATGTCATAGCTATATAAACTTGCATCAAACCCAAATCGACCTTTTCATTGGTATATTTCTTCAGCTTATCAACCATTTAACAACAGTGTAGGAGTGATAAAAATAGTCAGCAGAAACCACAGGAGCAGTAAATGTTTGTATTAAATCGTCTGTCAGCTTCCATCACCAACCAAACAATCCACCTACACCGACCACAAAGCTTTATTAAAGCAAAGAATAATGGATATTTGTTTGACTCTATTGATGAATACCACAAATCCTATTGTAGGTCAACCATGCCACTGTTGGTTAAAATTAACAGTCCAGTAATACAAACCAAGGATCTTCAGTTTGTGCTGCAAATGACTTCAAAGCATTTGACAAAGTACCACATGAGGGATTTTTCTAAAACAATCCAAGTAGTCCAAAATAAAGTGGAATTTGATTGAAATAACATAGAAGTACCACAGGAATCCTCCTCATGGCTAAGGCATAATATTCATAAATACAGAATGGAAGACCCTATATGTGTGTGACAATGATATGCATCAATAATGCTCCCCTGATACCCACACATGAGAAAGGGAACTTCGTATGACAACCCTTTTACCATTGAAATCTGCTCAATATTTTTTATGAACTAGGTCCTTGAAGAGAAGAAAATTTGCCGATGCACTGAACAGGAAATCATACAGCCTACATTTGAATATATGGCTAAAAATTAGGTGTGAATGTAATGTAATGCCTTTTTTTGGTGGGGCCTTTGGTAGCTTTCCAAGCTGAGTGTTGATCCAGACAGGCCTTAGGGACACGACCCAAGCCGCTGAGACCCACCCTTGCCTACCAGGACCCAGGGTCAAAATATGACTCGCTACAAGGCAAAGGGAAGCTCGAGGATTGGAGATGAGCCTAAAACTGAGGAAAAAGAAGTAATGAATAACGAAATGCCTCTTTCTGGTGGCCCCCTCAATGGCTTCCTGTTGCTAGCAGCCTGGTTCCCTCCACTCAGTTCAAGTCCATGCGAGTCATTAATCAAAGCACTGCACACAGCGCCTTAACCACTGTGATGCCCCGAGTTTACTGTGACATTCCCTTGCGCATAAATTCAAGTGTTTGCAAATTTTTTTTTATCTTTGTAAAATGATAAATTCCCTTCTCTGAACACGTACATGTTAAAAAAAATCCACTTTGGCTGTGGGGACGTGGAGAAGGCAGTGTCACGGGCTGGTTGCCTGTGTGTGAAGCTCCCAGAGGCAGTCGTGCGCACCATTCAAGTACTGAGAGTTGCCAGAAATATATTTTTAATTATTTGTTCTATGTATTTCCAATGCTTTTCTTTTATCATATATGATGCATATTTGTGTCCTTTGCAATATGTATACAGTAGAACATTCATAATGTTCCATGGAACTGTGATACATGTGTTAGTAATGTGTCCACAATAAATGTTTATTGTTGCAATATTACTTGTTAAAAATTTTACTAAAAACTACAATATGTACAGTTTCACAAACTATTTACACAGTAACACACTGTATTACACAGTACTTCGGAAGCGAGTGATAATAAACGAAACAGTCCAAGGTACATAGCGCGACATGGCTCTTGTTGCACCAGGTAGAGATAGATTTTCACTTACTGTTAATTTCTTCATTCTGCGTGTTTGCAAATAGTGCACTCACGTACACCCTTGGCTTTAGTACCTGTAGGTGGCATGTAACCAAGTTTGTGAAGCGTAAGGTAGTCTTGAAAAGATTATAGGAAAAGATCAATTTGTAAGGTAGTCTTGAAAAGATAGCTTTGTAAGGTCCCACACTGGAAGAGATTCAGCCATTCTGGAAGAGATTCAGCCATTCTGGAAGAGATTCAGCCATTCTGGAAGAGATTCAGTCAATCTGGAAGAGACTCAGCTATTCTGGAAGAGATTCAGTTATTCTTGAAAATATCTATGGAAAACACCACCATGGAAGCTGCTAACACTGTTCATCTATGCTACTTGTATCAGATGCATCATCACTGAACCAAGAAAACGATCCATCTATGTATCATCTATAAAAATTAGAGATGGCATGGGTGGGCAAGAGCGGCGCTCAAAGCTACAACTGGATACACTCGTTATATCGTCCTAATCGGTGCTGTATCACTTGCATTTGACCTTTGTGTTAGGTCCTTATTGCGCCTAGTTTCATCAATATCATGACCCTAATGTTCTTCAAACAAAAAGGTCTGAATTTCACCGACAGTGATCTTTCAACATCACGTCAGACAGGTGTTTGTGAGCCAGAGGAGCATGCGCCACCCATTTTGCTCACTCGGTACTAAGCCAGCCAGGAGCCCTAGGACTTTCTGGGAATTTTTTCCAAGATGGCTGCCTCTCACTGGAGATCCCAAGAGTCCATTTTGTACACAACCTACTGTGCATGCATTTTGAATGGGTACGAAATATTCAAAAGGTGTTTTCTCAGTTGGCGCAGCACAGCGGTTAAGGCGCTTGATCGGGGGTGTGCAGAGCACCGTAAGGCACTTTTAGGAATAGGGAATGATTCAAAACTCCCACGGGTACACAGATCCTGTAACTCAGGACTTCAGTAAACAGACACTATCTTGAAAAAAAAAATGATCAGCATCTGTACTGGTTGCAAGAGCCTCAGTACTGAGAGCACGACCTAAGCACATGATGACAATGCAAGAGCTCTCAGTACCACTCTGCGATGAATAAAATATGTAATTATTTTACACTGATAGTGTCAATCTTGACTGTGATAAAGACTATGTACAATGTTCAGATAATCAGTGACCACAATGCTAGTTATGATATTCACATCATGAGGTACACACACAACACCCAGCCATTGTTTCCTGCATCTATGCATCATGAAACGTATCTCCTGTTCCCTCACAATATAACCTTGTGGAAATGGATTCATATTCAGAATTTTTAACAGGAATGTGATAACAGTTATGCAGCTAGTCATAGCGAGATGTGTAGAATATTGGAGGCATTGTCTTGCATCACGTTACTGCTGGCATTGTCTGCTAGTATCATGTGGCTCCATGCTGTGTTTTGATTTCATCACCATACCCAACAGAACTGCTTATTAATTTGTTATGGTTCATAACAATGTTAATTGTAATTACCTAAGTGTAGTTACAGGATGAGAGCTGCACTCGTGGTGTCCCGTCTTCCCAGCACTGTCATATAACGCTTTGAAACTACTGACGGTCTTGGCCTCCACCACCACCTCACCTAACTTGTTCCAACTGTCTACCACTCTGTTTGCGAAAGTGAATTTTCTTATATTTCTTCGGCATCTGTGTTTAGCTAGTTGAAATCTATGACCTCTTGTTCTTAAAGTTTCAGGTCTCGGGAAATCTTCCCTATCGATTTTATCAATTCCTGTTACTATTTTGTATGTAATTATCATATCACCTCTTTTTCTTCTGTCTTCCAGTTTTGGCATATTTAATGCCTCTAACCTCTCCTCGTAGCTCTTGCCCTTCAGTTCTGGGAGCCACTTAGTAGCATGTCTTTGCACCTTTTCCAGTTTGTTGATGTGCTTCTTAAGATATGGGCACCACACAACTGCTGCATATTCTAGCATATTCTAGTATCCAGGTCTCACCCAGAAAATGGTATTTCATTACATTCAAAGCTGGTTTTCTGGGGAGGGGAGGGTGCCTTCGGCTCCCCGGAGCTACTTACCGAAAGAGAAAAATAAACAGGGACTTACCCAGGTGGCGGTCGTTCCTCACATCTCAACGCAAAGTTGAGACAACTGGCTACAACTGCCGACCCAATGCAACACAGGCCCGACCAGACCCAGGGACATTAACCAGGGAGCAAGCGCCCAGGACATTGACCATGTAGCGAGCAGCCAGGACCCTGTTCGATCTCCAAAAGCCCCGCACCTGAATGTGAGCCCAATACGTTACTGAAAACAGCAGCAAGTGCAGCAATCTTACGAACGTCGTGGGCACAGGGAAAACTGCAGGCTGGCTAGAACGAATAACCCTGTGGACAACCTGAGAGAACTGAACCCGGGAACAGGGAAGAAGGGAAACCGGGTCAACCCGAAGCACGCCCCTGGTCACTGAGGCCGTGGTGCACAAATAACGGCACAAAGCGGCAACCAGACAATACATGATGCACACGGCAGTGAGGAGAGAAGCAAAAAGAAATTTTGAAAAAGGGATTGCAGACAAATGTAAAACAGAACCAGGTCTATTCTATAAATTCATAAACAACAAATTGCAGGTAAAGGATGATATACAGAGGTTGAAAATGGGAAATAGATCCACGGAAAATTAAATGGAAATGTGTGGAACATTAAACGAAAAGTTCCAAAGTGTGTTTGTACAAAATGAAATCTTCAGGGAACCAGATACAAGAATAATTCCAGAACAACAACATAGAGCACATAGAGGTGTCTAGAGATGAAGTGGAAAAAATGCTCAAGGAGCTAAATAAGAACAAGGCAGTTGGTCCAGATAGATTTTCACCATGGGTTCTGAGAGAATGTGCACCTGAGCTCAGCATTCCTCTAACTGATTTTTCAGGCATCCCTGTTTACAGGAGTTGTAGCTGATGTGTGGAAAAAGGCTAACATAGTTTCAATCTACAAAAGTGGAAGCAGG